TAGACCCTCTGTCCTTAGACTCTCTGTCCTCAGACCCTCTGTCCTCAGACCCTCTGTCCTCATACCCTCACATCGTACGAGGAAAAACTTCCAGAGAAAACCCACAGTTTAAATGGGAACATGGGAGAAACCTCAGGGAGAGCAACAGAGGAGGGATCCCTCTCCCAGGACGGACAGACGTGCAATAGATGCCGTGTGTAAATCCAAGAGATAATACATTTTACAGCATATAGACCGAATGTTAGGAAATGCATGTGTCTGTAATAAGAAGATGAATCCACGAGGATGTCAGCTACAATCCTGTGGAAGCCATCAGGGAAGCAGCATGACGAGACCCAAGGCAGGACCGCAGAGACAGGTTCAGCCACGACCCGAAGTCCACGACTTAATCCAGAACTCAGGATAGAGGATCCAAGACACAGGACTACAGCAAGAGGATCAGCCTCGACTCCGGATCCCGGTGTAGATATAGATACAAAACAAGAAAAACAGACACAGACAGGCACACGCAGGGAGTATTTATCAGTTTCTCTTAAGAATGTTCCTCCACAAATGGCTCTTTCTGATAAAGAGTGCTTGGCCTGACTCTCTAGCATCACGTATTGTTCACCAGAGCAACATTTTGAAACCTACGAGCACAATTCACAAATAATGGATTGTGGCTGCTAATCTACGCGTCTCAAGACACAATCTACTACATTTATTTGACCAACGGCACCTAGTGTTTGCAGCTGAGTGCAATTTGTCATGTCTTGCATCTGGTAATAGCAAGTATCCATGTGACAAAGTATAGATGTTCCCTTTGAGCTAAGAAGTAGGCAGAACAATGAAGGAGGAACAACTATTACATTTACAAGTACCAACAAAGTGCCGAGGTATGCTTTAAACATCATAAACCAAAGAAGAGTTATCATTTAATGACGCCATGATCACTGTAGAGGAAACTTCTGTGTAGCATGCAATGGAGTCACCGACTCAGGAAGGAGACACGGGAAGAGTCGGAGCTTTGATGTCAAACCACTGTGATTTATTTGGAGTTGGTACCAGAGTATTCACATCACAAATCCAAGAGTCAGAGGTTCTGACTTCACGGTAGAGTTGCCACGTCAATTCTGGAGAGCCTCTCTCTTGCCAGCCCATCTAACTGGTTTCGCAGAGAGTAAACAACATATTTGAGGAGATAGCCTAATCAGTGTGGGAACACTGAGCTACTTGCGTCGGACACTTATGACCTCGAAGATTTCACCTTGGAGTCCACAAATACAGAGAAGGAAGTGTCCCAGTGTACCCACAACACAGACCATCTGTGACCCAGTATTGACCGGTCACAGAATGGGAACAATAACATTATTGACTAAGCAGCCTGTGTCCTTAAAGAAGGTAAACAGACATCAAGGTTTGTCCTGTATGTTACTAATTGGCGTCTATGATAATTATTTCCATAACAATCACTGGAAAGTCTGGGCATTGAAAACAAGCTTCAGTTACCAAGGAGCTTTTACATGTCACTGGTGGTGTGAGTGGGTAAGATAACTGAGCTTTGTGGCTGTTCTTGCATTGAGGATTATATTTAAAAAAACATTTCAAAAAGTCTTTATTGCCAATCTTTCAGTTTTTGTGTCCAGACAGAAAGATTGAAATACTGTTTCCCACAATCCAGAGGAATTAAAAAAATACAAATACATATGAGAATACGTATAAAAATGTCCGCCAAAGGTATGCAAATTACCATTTATATATGTGCACACAGCAAAGGAGCAAAGTGACAAGTTTGAGTTTGATATCTACAAAGGAAAGCTCTGCTCGGAGGAATTAGAACTCCTAACCTCAGCTTCTCTCACATCCTGAACACAGCCCTGAATATGACCCCTCTAATTATTGCAAAACTCAAACTTCTATATCTTTCCAGCACCACAGTACGATCCAGAAACGTCACTTGAAGGTTGTGTGTTTTATTCATACGAGCTGCAGCTCAGTGTGCCGTGCTCGCTGTTGTACTCGAACAAAATGCTCGCAGCCTTGAAGCACTCACAGAAAAGAAGGAAAGACGAGAGGAGCGAAGGAACAAAGACGGGCGTCTCCTCTGGAAACTCTCTTTGTGTTTACAGACGCTCGGCATCGTCTGCCTTTCTGTGTGGGGAAACATGATGTTTCAAACACAGTGACTCCAGAGGAAAGTTCACAACGTGTGTCGTAGCAGCTTTCTAATCAGCTGTGGTCTAGAGAGAATAATCAGTAAGGTAACAAACGTACAGCAACACAATATTCGTATTAAAAGCAATAAGGATCTTTATACTTGCAAGTATGACGTCTCCTCCAAAAGAGCACGTACCTTTCTGAGTGAAACAGTCTCTCTTTATAGGAGGACATCAAAGCAGATTTACATTACAACAACATTCTGGGAAGCCAGCTGACACCCCCTCTGACACAGTATGCAAAACCTTCACTCAATACCAGCCAATGGGATATACAGATACCCCTCAGCCACAGTATGCAAAAACCTTCACTCAATACAAGACAATGGGATAAACAGATACCCCTCAGCCACAGTGTGCAAAAACCTTCACTCAATACAAGACAATGGGATATACAGATACCCCTCAGCCACTGTATGCAAAAACCTTCACTCAATACCAGCCAATGGGATATACAGATACCCCTCAGCCACAGTATGCAAAAACCTTCACTCAATACAAGCCAATGGGATATACAGATACCCCTCAGCCACTGTATGCAAAAACCTTCACTCAATACAAGACAATGGGATATACAGATACCCCTCAGCCACAGTATGCAAAAACCTTCACTCAATACAAGACAATGGGATATACAGATACCCCTCAGCCACTGTATGCAAAAACCTTCACTCAATACAAGACAATGGGATATACAGATACCCCTCAGCCACAGTATGCAAAAACCTTCACTCAATACAAGACAATGGGATATACAGATACCCCTCAGACACAGTATGCAAAAACCTTACCCCCTCTGTTGACCACACATACATTTAAGAATCTCTCCCTTGCTGTGACCTAATCAGAGGAACAGTTACAGTCTGCAATGTTAATACACTTGATCACACAATTTCCATGACATTCCCCCCTTTGATTAATTTGAATCACTAATTGTGGTATCAACTTTAGGACTAATTAACATTGGCATGTATATTTGTCAGTTTGAAAAGTTCTTCCACATCAGGTAAGTCTGTGTGGTCACACATCTCCTCCTTTCCCAAACCCTCTACATCCTCAAACATGCTTAATTTGGCATATTGGTGTTGAACCTGGCCCCCCACAATTCCTCCTATCCAGCGATAGATTACAGCTCGCATACTTGTGAGAGCACAGGTACAAAAACATAGAAACATACTAAGAACCACCAGCACTGGAACAAGCATTTGAAATAACATAATTTGCCCCCATTTGCCAAATGTGTCCTGGAGCCATTTGTTTAAAGAATAACCAGCTGACTTAGAGGGCCCGAAAACATCCCGAATCTTCTCCAAAGCTGTTATTACATTTGTAATATTATCGGAATTGTCCGGTATCATTGTCAAACATGAATCCCCAGTTATATTTAAAGTTATACACAGTCCTCCAGTTTTGGCCATCAAGTAGTCTAGTGCCATTTCATGTTTTAGCAATGTCAGACGGTGGGATTTGTCATTCTCAGAAAGCAATTTAAATCCTTTTATGGTTTCATTTGCAAAAGCAGACATTGTGTAGGTGATGTTATCAATGTGATCTGCTAAATATGTAACCCCACACCATGGAAAAATTCCAATTCCCCATTTTTCACCAAGAGAGACGCGCCAATGATATGATTCTAGATTATGAAATTCAGCTAACTCTCGTTTCTGTCTGTGATCACCTACATCAGGGGTCGGCAACAGGCGGACCGCGGTCCAGATCCGGACCCAGACGCCAACCTATACGGACCCGGACCTATAATCAATACATTAATAGGGGATTTCAAATTTGACGGGCGATTCTATTTTAACCGCCGCCGACAGGGGGCGAAAGAGAGGAGTGAGCGATACAGGGAGAGAAACACAGAAGAAGAGATGAGAGCGCGCCAGAGAGAAGCGGAGAGGAAAGTGAGTGAAGAGAATAATTAGCGATACAGGGAGAGAAGCGGAGAGGAGAGTGAACAGGCGTGTTAGCGGCAGACAGGAAGAGACAAATAATTACACATGGCGCTCTCCAAGAAGAGGGAAGTGGACAGTGAGAACAGAGCTTTTAACCCTGAGTGGACGGACTCATACATGTTCATCCTACCCACTGGGAGCACAGAACCAGTGTGTCTCATTTGTTCAGAGACCGTGGCGCTCATTAAAAGTGCCAAAACGCCACTATGAGATTCCCTCTCAAGTCAGAACTGAGGTCAAAGCAGTCTCAGAGGCCAATATGATCAGTCCACCAGGATTAAAATACAAACTAAATATCGTTCCAGCGCAGGCTAACCGAGGCTAACCAATTAGCACTTGCATGTGTGTATGAGAATGGCCCTGACACCATTTCAGCACAGATCTAAACTCCTGGCAGGCCAAGCTCGAGCTCAATTCTCGCACTGAACAAAAAAAGCGAGTGAGGGACTGCAATATAAGAGGGAAAGAAAGAGAAACTTTAAAACTGTTCAATTGTTATGATGTAAAGACTGATATGTTCTATAATCGGCTGAAACTGTTAAGTCATGATGTGAAACGGTTAACAAAGAAAAAGGGAAACTCAAGCTGCTGCTACACTTTATTTTATTTATCTAAAATGAAGCACTTTTAAGATGCACACATTTTCAAAAGCTATTTTATTTATTTCCTCTATTTTATTTTTAAATGCAGCCCGAGAGGAACATTACACATATCCACAGTATTTACTGTATATCTGTATAGTTAAATGTTAATTGACAATACATATTGTTGTTTATGAATTTTACTTTCTTTATTTGATTGGCAGTCAGTTGTTGATTACATGCAAACGTTGATAAAGCTACAGGCTACTTCAATATATATCACACTAATTCATATAGCAAGTTAGACATTTTGATGTTCCGGACCTTTGCATGGGGACATTTTCTCTAACTGGACCTCGTTGAATTGTAGTTGAATACCCCTGACCTACATGGTCATTCTTCGTTTCTGTTAGAAACATTAAGTTAGCAATGGTGAGATTTACATGTTGACAACAGCCATTCCAATTTTTAGGCAAATAATAGTACGCATCTACACCACACAGCCAGTATGAATTTTGTATTCAGGGTAGTCCTAAAGACATGTTTGTATACAATATATCATTTACTTGAATCATCTTATTATTCCTGAATGTAATATTCACCAAGTTAGTGTTTCCCAATTTGCCATGTCTACCTTTCATTGACAAACCACCTAATGGTCGAATACAGCTTGAAAAACCTAACACTTTTGGCCCGTGCCATTGTTACATACACAAGGAAAGGTTGATGCATTTGGATGAGTTATAGGAGCTTCTACTGGTTCTGATAGCATAGTATTTTCGGGATCACGCTGGGGTTGCAAATTCGAACAATACCACAAAATACAGTTTAGAATTTCACTGTCCACTTGCATTTTCCTGATTTTCCAAAAGCTCCGAGTTTCCATTGAGCACCTGTGTCGCTCCTGCATCAGATCCTCAGAGTCCCAATCAAAACTAGAATAATAATGTACAACTGCCAAAATCTCTGGCAGACACACTGATGGAGTGGATCTAAGCGAAAATAACTCAGACCATGACACAGGGGGACCCTGTATTGCCAGAATGGAGGAATTTCCCGAACTTGTCTGTCTTGCAAGATAAGTCAGGAAAGAATACCAGGAGTTCCTATCCCCCTCGCCTGGATCCCCTATTGAGTCAGAGTCAAATCCCCAAGGCTTCCATTTCTTCCCATCATATACATTCCTCTTCTGCCTCCGTAGCTCATCATGTTTTTCTGATGTTGCAGTGAGGCTTCTACTGGGCATAGTTTTAACAATGTCTATTTTTTCCTAGTGTGACTCCGCCCACAATAGCAAAGAACATGACATGATGCAGATTATGATAATTAGGCAGCAAATGCCATCTCTTGTGCCATTCCCCATTCTCCTGAATGGACTCCATTTCTTCCATATCGACTCCATGCTCCGAATCCCTTGTAGCCGAAGATGTCGTCAAAGCTCAGTTTAATTGCCCTGTGGATCCTCCGGAATAATATGTTCCTCCAAGGGTGGCGCCTTCCTGCAGTGACTGGCGTGAATCCAAGTTGTCCTCTCAGCAACCTTCACAGCTGAGTTGGTCACCAGCAAAACCTGGAAAGGCCCGGTCCACCGAGGCTTCCTCCAATGGCGTCTCTTGCAGTCCTTCACCACGACCCAGTCACCGCTTGGATCGTATGCAGAAGTCCCTCCAATCGCACCATGCTGCCAAAATTGCTTCTACCTGTCAGTGCTTGGATCTTAACAAGCATAAAAACGAATGCAGAAATCCAACATACTGTCATAAAATGTCTCACAGTAACACCTTAGCCACTGCTTCTGCATCTGCGTTACCTGTTATAATTCAATCAATATTTAAAAACATGTCAACAATCATCAAACAGTATCTTATCCTCACACACGGAGCACGTCCATTTAAAATCCATCATCCAATGGTCAGTTTGAACTTAAATGAAAAATTTAAATTGTGAATTGTTAGTTGTATGAGCTTATATGAGCAGCCATGTTGACATTATTGGCTACTCCCCCCTTTTACACATCAACATATGTGTAAAAAAAAAAAAAACTCCATTATTATTTCCACAATAAACACTTCAGTGAGAAGGCGTGTTTCTCTCCTTCAACCAGTCCTAAAATAAAACAGAATCTTGAGATTTAGTTTGAGCCCCACACTTTTGAATTTCCACCTCCGGTGGAAGTAAATTGCATATGTGCGGTTTTCCAGCTCGTGGACTTTAGGAATCCTCTCGTTTCCCACAAAGCCCCAAAATCATGTGTTAGTCCAAAACATGCTTAGTTAGTTATTGTTTTAGAATCATGCAGTTAGACTGATCACATGTAGACATACATTCACACTCATACTGTCTGGTTGTCAAGTCAGGTTCGGTCAGGTTCACCCCATAGTCAGTCATTGACAGTGCTTTTGTCAAGTAGCACTGTCAGTCGGGGTCAAAGGTCATTTGGTCTCAGTCTTTTGGTCATTTGTCATGCTCTGCAGAGACTGAATATCTCAGCATAGGCAGGTATCCTTTGTCTACAAAAGCCTGACATATGCTGAGTGCCATCATTTATTTCTTCAGAATTACAACTATAATTTTCAAGATGGATCTAACTTTTCATTTGGACAGCTGCTTCCCATATTTCCTCATAGTACTACTACTGCAGTTTATTAACACCTAATCTATATTAAAATCTCTAATAGATCTATTTCAGAAACGTGTGCACATAACTATTATCTTCAAAACATTATTAGGATCCGTGTAACTCTGCAATGTATTTCATAATTCATTACATTTATTTATTTTCAATTCTGGTCTACTTAAAGAAACATTTAAACCTTTTAACCACGGGAGTAATGTGTGGAACTATGGGAACATGTCACAATTACTCCTTTCCTTATATGGTGTCCTGTTCGTGTGGCTTATTATATTTGACATGGTCTGTAGTCGAATTAAGGAGTTTATCACTATGGCAGGTATGTTTTAATAAATACCATATTTGAGATCAGCCCACAATTTGGGCGTAACATCTTCTTCTTCTTCATCACTAATTAAGCGGATGTCCACTGGAAGGTGGTGGCGCTGGTCTTTTTAAACTCATAAACTGGTGCTTTGCATGCTTCCCTAGGAAGGTGCAGATAAGATTTTTGAAAACATCTGAAGGGTGGGTAAAATTACCCCTTCTCCCCACAGATGTCGGTTGCCAAGAATATGCACCATTACAATGAGTGATCCAAGGGCCCCACATGTTTGCTCACAGTTATATTGCTTCTTCTAAATTTAATTTGTCATTCCTATTTGCCCAAAGTGTCTTTTTAAAAACTCTGCATTTCAAACTACAGACAACAGTTATTTCCCTTTTAGAAATATCTATGCTCAAACCACTGCTAATCCGAATATGTATCTACAGGTGGTATAAACTCTCCCTTTAAACTGTAGATCAATATGTTTACAAATTAAAACACTTCCAAGTTCACACATGAATAAAAGAATAATTGGTCAATATGAGAAAAGATCAAAGAATGTGTTCTACCCTGTACTCCTACAGTGCCTACAGTGTGTTTTAAGTTTATTTTCTCATTTTACTTTAAATAATATCCTCTTTTCTGCTATTTGTAATTTACTTGCTTGATTGCTCAATGCTTGCAGAATAAAACAATGTTTTATATTTAACAAGCCAGTTCAAGTTCTTTAATGTGGTCCCTTTTTGTGTGCATTAGTGAGTAAGTGTGTTTATGTGCCAAACTCACTCATTTCCAGTTCCCTTCCTGTCTCCTCCAGTTGTCATAAACCCCTTTGTCCTCGACCTCCTGTTGCTTTTCGGCCTTGCGGGTGTGAAACTGTTACACCTTCTTCTGGACCATGTTGCCACTCGTCATCCATCTCCTCCTCCTCCTCTTCTGGACAGTCTTTGATCCGATGTTCAAATGAACCACCCCGAAAACATCCCCTTTGTTCGTAACCTCTGCCTTTTCCTCTACTGGGTGCTCTTTCTCTGCCTCGATATCCACCTCTGCGTTTCCCTCTGCCCCTGTTAATCTGCTGCTCATAAGCTTGGAGTTGTGCCATCTGCAAACGCTCTCCCATCTTATTCTTAATTGTCTTTAATTCTTCATTAGCATTGTTCATCACCTTTTCAGCATGGCGGGCATAGGTGAGGACAGGCTCCAATCTTCCTCTTTCTAGTTCAATGCAGTGTTTTTGAACATATTTCTTAATTTCGGGCAACAAGCCCTCCATAAGGCATGTTTTTTTCCTGCTGTTCATATGGACTGTCATTGTCACCAGGAGGACGCACCATCCCGCTGTGTCAGTAACAGACTCACCCACCCTCTGGGCACAGTCTTTAACTTTTCCCCAGTCCATCCGTTTCTGGTAGTAATTTTCAAGTCTCTGAATTAATCCATTAATTTTCAGTCGATATGGAGCAGCATTGGCCCAGTCATATCTGTGATCCACACCAGGCCAATCTCCTTTCACTGCTCCCCATTTCAACTTCAGCTTGCCTATTAAAAGTCTCTCAAGTTCTCTCAGGGAAGGGCGGTGTTGCTGTATGAGTTCAAGCAGTTGAGCCCCAAACTCCACTCCTCCGCTCTCCACAGGATTTGGCAGGTCATTTATAACATCCTTCATGTCCCCTGGAGACCAGGGGCGGAAAACATACATGATTTGTGGATCATTTGCATCTCCCCTAGGATTTGGCACTTCCACCATGGGCATCAAGATGCAACTGTCTTTCATGTCCTGTACTGTTGCCCAACTTGAAGATGGTCCTTCCGGGTTTAATGTATGCTCTGGTACTGAAGCTTGTGGCTCCAATGGAGCTTTGCACCCTTTTGCTGTGGGGCTGGTAACAAAAAAATCCCTCTCCGCCTGTTGTCTGGTTCTGGACGCCACCGGTTGGGCCGTGGGGGAAGGCAGGTCTGGATACAGCTTTGCAGTCGTCTGTTCCACTCTTTGTTCATCGTACGGTGGAGGAGAATGGAGAACTCGGTGAGGGCCTGGTGCGTCCAGCTCAGGCAGGTCGGGGGCCTGAATTTGACAACCAGAGGGACAGTCCAGATCGCCATCGACTTTGCCTAAAGGGATTCTAGCACACTGAGGTTTAATTACACCACCCCCCTGTTCTCCCTTATTTTTCTGATTTTCCCGGATCATGGCCTCCGTTTTCCACATTCCAAATGCCTTCCAACCCATATTTCTTTTTGTGTGTTTCTTCTCTACTTTTTCTAAACCCTGTCTTAATTTTTCTAACTGATTTAGACTTAAACTGCCATTGTCAGGAAAACCATTTTTCACCCACACATTTAAATATGTACATGTCCAAGCACCATGCTTGTTGCACATTACCTTTGCACACCCTTCATACTCCAAAATTACCTTTTTGCTATTTGACTTTCCCATCTTTAATTTTTTGTATTTAGAAATATAGAAATATATTGCCCAAAACAACAAAAAATCCCACTTTAAAATACAGGAAATCAGTAAACAACACCTGAAATGTGTTTACTTAGGTTAAAAACATACATATATTGAAATTACACATTTTTACTCAAGATTATCTTAATTTTCTTATAACTATAATTACTACGCGTGATCACTTAATATATATATTCCTCATAGGCCTTTATCTTCTATATAGCGCTTTCTAAACAGTTACCACAACTGCTACAGTTCCCAAAACTGTTTTGACGTCGTGAATTATTGTGTGTACCAAACACCATCAATAACTCTTCTATATAGCGCTTTCTAAACAGTTACCAAAACTGCTACAGTTACCAAAACTGTTTTGTCTAAACAGTTACCAAAACTGTTTTGTCTTACACTCGATTAATGTACCAAAAATGTATTTGCTCGTCAGCCCTCAGCCAGTTAACTTTGAATTGTTCCTTTCAATACAAATATTGTGCTCTCACCTTTTCTCCTCTTTTTGAAAACAAATTATTATTCCCTTGGAAAAATTTCGTACCGAGAAAGACTGTGATCCCCCTCTCTTCAGGCGGCTTCTGCTCTTCCCTGCGATCAGTTACTTTCCTCCAGGGAGAGGTTTGCCTCCAGGACCAAGTCACTGGCTGTGCACAGTTTACCCGGAGAGGACGTCTCACAGTAATTCCTCAAGTAGACAATCCCGGACGATCCCCCAAATGTCGTAGCGGCTTTCTAATCAGCTGTGGTCTAGAGAGAATAATCAGTAAGGTAACAAACGTACAGCAACACAATATTCGTATTAAAAGCAATAAGGATCTTTATACTTGCAAGTATGACGTCTCCTCCAAAAGAGCACGTACCTTTCTGAGGGAAACAGTCTCTCTTTATAGGAGGACATCAAAGCAGATTTACATTACAACAACATTCTGGGAAGCCAGCTGACACCCCCTCTGACACAGTATGCAAAACCTTCACTCAATACCAGACAATGGGATAAACAGATACCCCTCAGCCACAGTATGCAAAAACCTTCACTCAATACAAGCCAATGGGATATACAGATACCCCTCAGCCACAGTATGCAAAAACCTTCACTCAATACAAGATAATGGGATATACAGATACCCCTCAGCCACAGTATGCAAAAACCTTCACTCAATACAAGACAATGGGATAAACAGATACCCCTCAGCCACAGTATGCAAAAACCTTCACTCAATACAAGATAATGGGATATACAGATACCCCTCAGCCACAGTATGCAAAAACCTTACCCCCTCTGTTGACCACACATACATTTAAGAATCTCTCCCATGCTGTGACCTAATCAGAGGAACAGTTTACAGTCTGCAATGTTAATACACTTGATCACACAATTTCCATAACATTCCCCCCTTTGATTAATTTGAATCACTAATTGATTAACACGTGGCGGAAACACGTGTTTCCGCCACGAAGACGAAGAGCTGATTAGATTTCCATTCGACTCGCTGCATACAATGTGGAAAAAACTCCAAACTACAGTATAGATCACACCAGGCTGAAAGAAATCTCTGCCCATTCATTCATAACTGGTCTTAATGAAAAGATTAATTAGCACAACGGTTGTGTCATTAGGAGCTTCTTGCTGTCTGACGGTGTTAAGAAGAAGTGAAAGTCATATTGGGAGACTGAACGTAAGATCATCAGACGGCTAAATACAGCTATACCTTTTGTTATAAAACACTAAGCAATTAAAAAAGTCCCCGATTTGAGAAATCCATATTTGTTTGGTTTTAAGCATCTTTACTTCATAATAACCTGATTTGCTCTGTGGTAATTATGACTTTAAAGCTGATATTGCTACATGTACATTGATGTCTTCTTAGTTCTCTACATGATTTACCCCATTGATTTAGGATTAAATTAGCCGTGTGGAGCCATAAAGAAACAAACAAAATGTACGTTCAGTAGGCATCACTAGAAGATATTGTTCCAGCAAGAAACGTTTTTGTAATCCAACATTGTTTATTAGCTTCCTTCCCTTGTTGGTGCATATATTTCACAAGGTATCAGCAACTTATAGTGCAGAAAAGCAGCTCCATGTTGAGGTGAAAGAAGTCCACAGGGAGCCGTGAAGTTTAGCTGCCCCCTTGTGGGTCAAGTTTAAGAAGGCGAGCCTCCAGAAGCTCCAGGTTGCTTATAAGGACTGTCTGCGTATACTGCTTAGAAAACCAAGGCGGTGCAGTGAAATGTTCTGTAAAGCACGAGTCAACACGTTCCATGCTCTCTTGAGAAATCTGATGAACAAATTCATCTCTCGATTGAATGTTTCTCTTCACTCTGTCATTATGCTGCTTTCAAATCCGTGTCTCAGTTCTGTACGATACCAGCCACCTCTGTGGAAACATTGGTAACTGCCTTTTTAATTTCTATTTGAGATTAAATTATTAATCTTTAATTAATTATTAAATTATTAAATTATTTCTATTAATTTCTATTTTATATTCTATATTTCTATTTCTATATTCTATTCTATTTGTACGTCTTTTAAAAATGGACCTAGAGTCTCTTTAAATGATGATGATGATGATGATGATGATGATGATGATGATGATGATGATGATGATGATGATGATGATGATGGAGGCACAAGTCTAAATCCTTGATTATAAAACACTGGAAAACTAAGATAAGATGATAAGAGGTACTTTATTGATCCCAAATTTGGAAATGTTTGCGTTGCAGCAGCATCAAAAACAACAAAACAAGGCATTGCACATAAGTAGAAATTGAAGAGTAGAAATAAACAATACTATAATTTAAACATCTCAAAATAGAATTAAAACAGCATTAACAAGTACAACGTATACAGTAGACCATGAATACTCGTACTCTTCACGCAGCTGTGACCGCATCAGATCAGTATTACTCTGTATATTATATCAACCTGTAGGGGAAGCGAGGGGAGAAGAGATGGATGGAGAAGAAGGCTAACGTCTAACAGGATACTATGCCAATTTAATTAGGTTAGGTGAAGGAAACACCAGAACTCTGTTCTCTACAGTCAACAGCATTCTACAGCCACCGGCCTCTCTTGCACCCCACCTGTACTCAACCTCTCAATGTAACACCTTCATGACCTTTTTCAATGCCAAAATCAAAAATATTCACCAGCAACTGACCTCCTCCAGCTATACATCACTTCACTCAACTCCGTATGCTCCCTTCTCCTCCCCACTATCCAGCTTCGAACTTCCCACTGTCGCTGAAATATCAAATCTCATTCGGAAATCAAAATCATCCACCTGCCAGCTTGACCCCCTTCCTACCCACCTAGTTAAAGCATGTCTACCTTCTCTCTCCGCTTTAATTACCGAGATAATTCACTCCTCCCTTACCTCTGGTCTCGTCCCCTCATCCCTCAAAACAGGTGCAATAACCCCTATTCTCAAGAAACCTGGTGCGGACCCCAACAACTTGAATAATTTCCGCCCAATCTCTAATTTACCATTTGTCTCCAAGATACTCGAAAAAACAGTTGCAGCCCAAGTCCACACTCATCTGAACAACTATAATCTTTTTGAAGAATTTCAGTCTGGCTTCCGCTCCTCACACAGTACAGAGACGGCCATGGTTAAAATCACAAACGATCTCCTAGTAGCAGCTGACTCTGGGCTCTTATCGATACTCATCCTCCTTGACCTGACTGCAGCCTTTGACACCATCTCACACCACATCCTCCTTCACAGATTATCTTCCATTGGTATCACTGGCACATCCCACACCTGGTTTAGATCTTTCCTCTCCGGCCGTACTCACTTTGTCCAACTCAAACACTTCAAATCACAGTCCCATCCAGTCTTCACTGGTGTTCCTCAGGGTTCTGTCTTGGGCCCCCTCCTATTTATCATCTACCTCCTACCTCTCGGCCATATCTTCAGAAAATACGCAATCCAATTTCACTGCTACGCGGATGACACCCAGCTCTATTTTTCCACCAAACCCACTTCCACTCTCCCCCCCACTGCCCTTTCCGACTGCTTACTGGAAATCAAATCCTGGTTCTCATCCAACTTCTTAAAACTCAACAGTGATAAAACCGAGTTTCTCCTAGTTGGCTCCAAGTCCACTCTGGCTAAAACTGACAAATTCTTCCTCACTATTGACAATTCCACAGTCTCACCCTCCCCCCAAGTTAAGAGTCTGGGTGTCATCCTTGACAGCACCTTATCATTTGAAGCTCACATCAACAACATCACTCGATCTGCCTACTTCCACCTCCGCAATATTAACCGCCTCCGCCCGTCACTCACACCCAACAGCACCGCCATCCTCGTCCACGCCCTCGTTACGTCCCGTATCGATTATTGCAACTCCATCCTCTCTGGTCTTCCTCAGAAATCCCTACGTAAGCTCCAACAGGTCCAAAACTCAGCCGCCCGTATCATCACCAGAACTCCTTTCATTAATCATATCACTCCGGTTCTCCAACAACTCCATTGGCTCCCCGTAAAGCACTGCATAGACTTCAAAGTGTTGCTCCTCACCTTCAAGGCCCTTCACACTCTTGCCCCTCCATATCTCTCTGAGCTCCTTCACATCTACACTCCCTCTCGTACTCTCCGATCCTCCTCTGCCTTCCAACTCACTGTACCTTCTGCCCGCCTGATCACCATGGGGTCACGAGCCTTCAGCCACTCTGCCCCCGGTCTCTGGAACTCTCTCCCACAAGACATCCGCAATATGGACTCCCTCCCACCCTTCAAATCCAGCCTGAAAACACACCTTTTTAAACTGGCGTATTCTATTTCTTAATCTCTGCTAAACTGATTGTTGTTTTTAAGTCTCTGTTATTTAAGTTTTTTTTTTGAGTCTTGTATTACTGTGTGCTCTTCTTTGTTGATTGTTTTTAATTATGCTCTGTAAGGTGTCCTTGAGAACTTTGAAAGGCGCCCATAAATAAAATGCATTATTATTATTATTATTATTATTAACAGGCTAGTCAGCTAATGTTCTAGCTGTCGGTCATTTGGAGGCTCTCAAAGTTTAAATTATAATAATTATTAAACACCATATGGTTCAAACCTGCAGCGAGGATCTGTGTCTACGTTCAGGCAGAGAGAAATTATAAAAACATCGACATGTGTTTTTTAAACCAACCAGCAGCTTCCCACGTCTCCTAACACTGCCATACAATCCCCCAAATACATCATTAGGATAAACTAATCACATATTGGTGATTCAAATGTGCTTAAAACCTGTTTCTTTGCCAAGTAAATGTTGATAAATGTAGTACCAACACAAACAGAGGCAATGTGTGATAACCCTGGAGCAGGTGAAGCAGCAGGTGAGTAACTGAACTACACAGAAAATGTACCTTCTTACCCTGGCAGCCTTTCTGGTCCTCACTGATTAACATAAAGCACATCTACCTTGTTAGGAGTCGTCACAAAGGACACAAAAATAATTAGGACAAAAGCACGTTCCAACACAAATAGACTCCCGGTTAACGAGTCTCTTTGCTCCGAGGTCTTTTCTTTATAAGACATCAATAAGGTGAAGTAGTTGCCGTGCAGAATAAAGAACGATAAGGCTCGTTCATAATGAAGATGGATTCAGGGGGTGATAAATACTGAATGCTGCTGCATTGTTTAGCAAAACAAGGTGTTCATAACGCTGCCATCACACACTCCTCTGGGTTTGAAGATGTCATCATTTAATAAACGCTTTCCACCAATTCATTACAGCAGCCGAGAAGAAGGGAGGGTTTAGACCCGCAGCAGCTCTGAGAGTCAGACTGTTACTGAGATCTGAAGTCATTAGCTCTGAATGTTGTTACGTTGCACACTTGGACACAGGAGGGACTTAAAGGTCACCTATTATGCAAAATGCTCT